TGGGGTTTTTTTGTTGTTCTTTTTCTAGATCTTTGAGCTTCAAGATTAGGTTGTTTCTTTGAGTTCTTTTCTTGTTTCTTGATGTGAGCTTCTATTGCTATATATTTTCCTCTTATACTGCTTTTGCTGCATCCCATACATTTAGGATATTGGTGTCCTCCTTGTCCGTTCAATTCAAAGAATTTTTTTTTTTAAAGAGTTATTTTATTTATTTATTTATTTATACAAGCACTGGGTACAGTCAGAAGCACGGGAGGGTGAGAGAATTCACCAGAGCCAGAGCGGGGAGCAGAACAGACAGACTCATGAAGTACACTGCTGAGGGGAGCAGCGGGCGGCAGGAGAGGTCTGCGCGCCATGTGGGACCTCCTTTCCGGTGTCGGGGGAGCAACGGGGATCGAACCGGCGCCACAGAGGCTGCGGGCAGCTTCGCAACCCAGCGCTCAACTGCTGCGCCACGGGAGGCCCAATTCAAAGATTTTTTTAATTTCTTCTTGATCTCCTCATTAGTCCAGTGGGTCTTCCAGTAGCGTGGTTTTTAATCTCCATGAGGTAGGAAGTTCTTGCCTTCTTTTTATGGTTTGTTTCTAGTTGATGCCTTCATGGTCAGAAAAGATGGTTGATATGATTTGAATCTTGGTGTATCTGTTGATGTTTATCTTGTGCCCCAGTATGTGATCGATCCTGGAGAATGATCCCTGTGCGCTTGAGAAAAATATGTACTCCGTTTTTTTGGGGTTTAGTGTTCTATAGATTGTCTGTAAGCCAATTGCTCTAGGTCCTTATTTAGAGCTTTGGTTTCTTTACTTATTTTTTGTCTTGTTGATCTATCCATTGTTGATATTGGTGCGTTGAAGTCTCCCACTACGTATGTGTTTCTCTGATGTCTGTTTTCAGAGAGGACAACAGTTGTCTGATATATTTTGGTGCTCTCTTCGTTTGGTGAGTATATGTTAATGAGTGTTTTTCTTCTTGAAGTATTGTCCCCTTGATCATAATGTAGTGACATTGGGGTCTCTTCTTTTCTTTTTGAGTTTGAATCTGTTTTATCTGATATAAGTATAGCTGTTCTGCTTTCTTTTTGGTCCATTTGCTTGTAGGATTGTTTTCCATCCTTTAACTTTGAGCCTATTTTTATCTTTTGTAGCTAAATGTGTTTCCTGGAGACAGCAAAAGGTTGGGTTTTGTTTCTTAATCCAGGCTGCAACTCTGTGTCTTTTTATTGAAGAGTTTAGTCCATTTACATTTAGAGTTAATATTGATATGTTAGCATCTGTATTTGCCATTGTGTTTGTCTTTCCTTTGATTTTATTTATTTATTCTTTTAATAACTTTTTTTTTTGGCCTTCTTTCATTGTTATTCGTCCCTCTGAGGTTCTGGCTTTAGGACTCCTTGTAGTATTTTTTTGGAGTGGGGGTTTAGTTGTAATGAAATTCCGGAGTTTCTGTTTGTCTGGGAAGGTCCATATTCTTTCTTCAAAGAGGAAGGAGAGCTTGCGGGATAGAGAATTCTTGGTTGGCATCTGTTTTTTGGAGTCTGTTGACTATGTCCCTCCACTCTCTCCTTGCCCGTAGTGTTTCTTCGGAAGTCTGATGTCAGCCTGATTGGCTTTCCTTTGAATGTTATCTGTTTCTTCCCGCTTGCCAGCTTCATTATTTTTTCCTTGTCCTGGATTCTTGGGAGCTTTACTATTATGTGTCTTGCTGTATTTTTACTTTCGTCGTGGAAGTTTGGTGTTCTTCTTGCTTCTTGTGTATCAATTTTCAGCTCCTTCTTCACATTTGGGAAGTTCTCTTCAATTATCTCTTTGAATATTTTCTCTGTTCCTACATCTCTCTCCTCTCCTTCTTGTATTCCTATAACTCTTATATTTCCTTTCCTCATGAAGTCAGATAGTTCCCGAAGTCTTTCTTCGTTCTTTTTCCTTCGTACTTCTCTTTCTTTTCTGTTTTGGTTCTTTTTATTTCTGTGTCTTCAAGATTACTTATTCGTTCTTCCATTTCATCTATTCTGCTTTCATTGCTTTCCCCAGAATTCTTTAGTTCTTCCATTAATTCTTTGATCTCCTGCATTTCTTTTACTTCCCTCTTTAGGGACTCAATTTCATTCTTCTGACCATTGTTTTCCCCTCTCTAGGGACTCAATTTATGCAGAAATATCTTATCACAGATAACCTCATACTTTTATATATAACCCATATATACTACAATGAAATTTATTAATAACACTACATTAATACATTTTAGTTATGGAGTTCATAAATAAAACTATCTTCTAATTTATTTCAGAAACATTACATCATTCACAACAGTGCTAGTATTTAATGTACTCATAAAGTAAGTGCTTTTCAGTAATGCTTTAACTCAGAAGTCACCAAATGTCTTCTTAAACGGTCAGAAGGCAAATATTGTAGACTTTCTAACCACTCAGTCCTTGTACTACAAAAGCATTCATAGACAGTACTTAAAGAAATAAGTGTGGGTACATTCCAACAAAAGTTTATTTACAAAAAAAGATAATGGCAGGATTCTCTCAGAGCCCAAAGTCTTACAGTTTGCCGATGTCACTTTAACTTCATAACAACTAATACAATGCAAAGTTCTTTTTATTTCCACTGCCTAATCTACCTCTTTGCAGCATCCTTGAAAGACAAATATTAACCACATTTTACAGAGGATAAGTCTAAGTCCCAAAAAAAAGAATAGCTTATCCAAGATCACACAGTTTATAAAGCAATGTGTTAAATTCAGTTCCCAAGGGAGATTTTAAATTTCTGGCTGCCTGGAAAGGTGAACATTTGAAAAGGCTAGTTTTAAACATTCTAAGGGAGTTTGTTCTTTAGAAGAATCATACTCTGAATCATTGTAGGAAATAAAGATCATCAGTCTTGAATTTATCTTCCTCAAAAATATCTATTTTTTTTATGTATTAGGTTCTCTAAAGAAAAAAATATCCCTGCACACTGAGTCAAAAGACTTCAGTGAAGGTAGAAGTCAGATCTTTTGATTGCTTTTAGAAGTAAATGGACCACAAGGAATTGTCTGTATCTTCTTAGCTATCTCCTAGGGTTTTATCCTGGGCCCAGGCTGTGAAAATGCCCAGTTCTCTGTTTTGCACAATCCGAAGAGGCTGCATGACTTCAGACATGTCTCAACGGGCACTTGGTCACATGTAGTTTGAAGGCTTACCGATGTTAATCTCGTCATCTGTCAGAGTGTCTCCAATGAAATCAAACTGAAAGGACTGCAGCGTCTGGGAAATTTCTGAACAGCTGAGGAATAATCTGCAAAGAAAGGAGAAAGGTCAACACTGCTGTCTTTTGTTTTCTTCATCTCTCTTAGAACAGATAGGAAGAAAGCAAAGAGAAGTGCTTCAGGCAGGTAGCAACTTACATTTAATGAAGTTAAAAATGATATTGATTCTTCATCTCTCTTAGAGCAGATAGGAAGAAAGCAGAGAAGTGCTTCAGGCAGGTAGTAACTTACATTTAATGAAGTTAAAAAATGATAAGACATGCAGTAGAAGACTTCAGCAATTGAGGCGATACATTGAAGAGAAAGGAAGGCAACTTAGTGAATTCCACCTTTAAGGTATAAGACATGTTTTAACTCATATGTTCTCTAGTCTATTCTATCCAAGCCTGAAAGATCTAAAGTATGTAATTTACTCCTAAGAGAGTCTTAAGCATTTTTTGACCACCCACTATAAGCTTTCTCACCTCTCACCATGAAATAATCCATAACCATTCCACAACAAAAAATTAGCTCAATTTTATAGATGTGGCATTCAAGGTTCCATGCATTAGCTTGCAGAGCTGGAATAGAACAAGGTTGTCTCCTATTCCACGGTCTTTTCCATGACAATGCAAGTACCAACTGGACATCCTGAATATTAATCAGATAGCAGCATGGGTTAGGAATATCTGGCAGAGGAACAAATTAATTTGTTCACAGAGAATTCACCAAGGGACCTAAACTAAATAGGCACAATAAATGAAAAAAAAGACATTTTGCAGCAGGGACCTTCTTTGGTGGAGACTGTGAAACCAGCAGAAGGCTCCCGAGGAGCCAGAGGTAAGCTGGGAGGCTTGCCCATGCCAGGCGCCTTCTAGCCTGCAGTCCCAGCCCAGGGGGAGCAGCACCCACCGCTGGGGCAGACCGGGCATGCAGGGGAGCGCGTCCCCGGCACCGGCATTTGCAAGCAGGGACCTTTTTTGGTGGAGGATGTGTGAAACCAGCAGAAGTCCCCAGAGGAGCAGAGGTGAGCTGGGAAGGTCGCCCAAGATGCCGGCCAGTACCAGCAACACAGTGTCACAAGGAATACGGCAAATTAGGAAACAGGCAGTACGGAATAGAAAAACACATGCAACCCAGCAACTCCTCAGCAAAAAAGCACAGGAAAAAGAAAAACCATCTACCAGATTGCAGACGACAGTAAGTTGGAAGAACTTCTGAGCCTTCCAGATAGAGAATTTAAAACTGCTGTGATTAAAAAACTGACAGAAGTCATAAAGGAAAACATGATAAGGGAAAAATAATTAATGACCAGAAGAATGAAATTGAGTCCCTAAAGAGGGAAGTAAAAGAAATGCAGGAGATCAAAGAATTAATGGAGGAACTAAAGAACTCTGGAAAGGCAATGAAAGCAGAATAGATGAAATGGAAGAACGAATATGTTCTTGAAGACACAGAAATAAAAAGAACTAAATAGAAAAGGAAGGAGAAGTACGAAGGAAAAAGACCGAAGAAAGACTTCGGGAACTATCTGACTCCATGAGGAAAGGAAATATAAGAGTTATAGGAATCCGAGAAGGAGAGGAGAGAGATGTAGGAACAGAGAAAATATTCAAGATATAATTGAAGAGAAACTTCCCAAACGCGAAGAAAGGAGCTAAAAATTGATATACAAGAAGCAAGAAGAACACCAAACTTCCATGACGAAAGAAAAAATACAGCAAGACACATAATAGTAAAGCTCCAAGAATCCAGGACAAGGAAAAATAATGAAACTGACAAGAGGGAAGAAACAGATAACATTCAAAGGGAAACCAATCAGACTGACATCAGATTTCTCTGAAGAAACACTACAGGCAAGGAGAGAGTGGAGGGACATAGTCAACAGACTCCAAGAAAACAGATGCCAACCAAGAATACTCTATCCACAAAGCTCTCCTTCCTCTATGAAGAAAGAATATGGACCTTCCCAGACAAACAGAAACTCTGGAATTTCATTACGACTAAACCCCACTCCAAAAAATACTACAAGGAGTCCTAAAGCAGAACCTCAGAGGGACGAATAACAACAAAAGGCGGCCAAAGAAAGTTATTAAGAATAAATAAATAAAATCAAAGGAAAGACAAACACAATGGCAAATACAGATGCTAACATATCAATACTAACTCTAAATGTAAATGGACTAAACTCTTCAATAAAAAGACACAGAGTCACAGGCTGGATTAAGAAACAAAACCCAACCTTTTGCTGTCTCCAGGAAACACATTTAGCTACAAAAGATAAAAATAGGCTCAAAGTTAAAGGATGGAAAACAATTCTACAAGCAATGGACAAAAAGAAGGCAGGAACAGCTATACTCATATCAGATAAAACAGATTTCAAACTCAAAAAGATAAAAAGAGACCCCAGTGGTCATTAAATTATGATCAAGGGGACAATGCTTCAAGAAGAAATAACACTCATTAACATATATTCACCAAACGAAGGAGCACCAAATATATCAGAAAACTATAGGCATCTCTGAAAACAGACATCAGAGAAAACACATATGTAGTGGGAGACTTCAACACATCATTATCAACAAGGGTAGATCAAAAGAGAAAAAAGAAGTAAAACTAAAGCTCTAAATAAGGATATAGAGCGCTTGGCTTAACAGACATCTATAGAACACTAAACCCAAAAAAATCTGAGTATATATTTTTTCTCAAGCACACAAGGATCATTCTCCAGGATCGATCACATACTGGGGCACAAGACAAACATCAACAGATACACCAAGATTGAAATCATACCAACCATCTTTTCTGACCATGAAGGCATCAAACTAGAAATAAACCATAAAAAAAAGGGCAAGGTACTCTCCTACCTCATAGAGATTGAAACCCACACTACTGGAAGTCCACTGGACTAACGAGGAAATCAAAGAAGAAATTAAAATATTCCTTGAATTGAATGACAAGGAGGACACCAATTTCCTAAATGTATGGGATGCAGCAAAAGCAGTAATAAGAGGAAAATATATAGCAATAGATGCTCACATCAAGAAACAAGAAAAGTCAAAGAAACAACCTAATCTCGAAGCTCAAAGATCTAGAAAAAGAACAACAAAAAAACCCAAACCAGTAGAAGAAAGAATAAAAAACCAAAGCAGAAATAAATGAAATTGAAACTAAAAAAAAAATCCAAAAGATCAATGAAACCAAGAGCTGTTCTTCGAAAAAATAAATAAAATAGATAACCCCTAGCCAGGCTCACAAGGGAAAAAGGAGAAAGCACAAATAAACAGGATCGTAAATGAAAGAGGAGAAATCACAACGGACACAGCAGAAATCAAAGAATAATTAATAACTACTATGAACAGTTATATGGAAACAATTCAACAATCTAGACAAGATGGATAAATTCCTACAACTCTACAATCACCCAAAGCTTGATAAAGAAAAATAGATCATCTAAACAGACCAATTACAACTAGCGAAATTGAAATGGTAATCAAAAACCTCCCCAAAAACAAATGCCCAGGACCTGATGGATTTACAAATGAATTCTACCAAACATTCAGAGACGAATTGGTGCCTATCCTTCACAAACTCTTCCAAAAAATTGAGAAGGAAGGTAATACCTAACATGTTCTATGAAGCCAACATTACACTAATACCAAATACGACAAGGACAACGCAAAAAAAGAAACTATAGGCCAATCTCCCTAATGAACATTGATGCAAAAATCCTCAATAAAATTTTAGCTATCAGAATCCAACAGTGTATCGTAAGAAGATAATTCACCACGACCAAGTAGATTCATTCCAAGGACACAAGGATGGTTCAACATCCGAAAATCAATCAACGTTATCCAACACATCAACAAGAAATATAAAAACCATATGATAATATCAATAGATGCCGAGAAAGCTTTCGACAAAGTGCAACACCCATTCATGATAAAAGCCCTTGAAATTCTTGGGATACAAGGAACATACCTCAACATCATAAAAGCCATTTATGACAAGCCAACAGCCAGTATCATTCTCAATGGTGAAAAGCTGAAAGCATTTCCATTAAGATCTGGAACAAGACAAGGATGTCACTCTCACCACTGCTTTTCAATATAATACTGGAAGTCCTAGCCAGAGCAATAAGGCAAGAGAAAGACATCCAAGGAATCCAAATAGGAAAAGAAGAAGTCAAACTATCACTATTTGCAGATGATATGATAATCTACATAGGAAACCCAAAATTCCATAGAAAACTAATTAACTCATCAATACTTTCAGCAAACTCGTCAATCAGTTCAGGCAGGATACAAAATGAACATGCAAAAGTCAGAAGCCTTCTATACACTAACAAAAATCTGAAGAAGAAGAAAGAAAAAAAAAAAAACAATCCCCTTTACTATCGAAACAAAAAAAATCAAATACTTGGGAATAAATCTAACAAATGAGGTAAAGGACCTTTACAAAGAAAACTATAAAACACTGTTAAAACAAATAGAAGAAGACACAAAGAAGTGGAAAGATATCCCCTGCTCATGGATTGGAGAATAAACATGATTAAAATGGCCATCCTACCAAAACCAATATACAGATTCAATGCTATTCCAATAAAATTTCAATGTTATTCTTCAAAGAAATAGAACAATTATTGATGAAAATCATATGGAATCACCAAAAACCCAAATAGCCAAAATTCTCCTGAAAAAAAAGAAGGGAATGGAGGCATCACACTCCAGACTTCAAACTATACTACAAAGCCATAATCATCAAAACTGCATGGTATTAGAACAAGAACAGACACACAGACCAATGGAATTGAATAGAAAATCCAGAAATAAACCCACAGATCTATGGTCAACTAATCTTTGACAAAGGAGCAAAGACTATGCATTGGAGCAAAGAAAGTTTGTTCAATAAATGGTGCTGGGAAAACTGGGTCGCTACATGCAAAAGAATGAAGCTTGACTACTGCCTCACACCATAC